TTTCTATGAGATTCTTTGATTCCGAGAATATCTTTACAGAAAATACAACTAGCAATTAATGAGGGAGGATTCGGTTTTCTGAATCTGGAGCTATATCATTATGTTTACCTATTGTCAAGTATTAAATCCTGGAAGCCGACAATTGGTGTCAATTTTCCAATTTGGGCCACAGTGGAATATACATATATAGCACCTTTGCTTGGATGGCCAGTATTAGGATCAAAATACACTAGAACTCTAGTGTCTCTGGAAGCAATTATGTCAGTTAGAAAGTTATGGAATGGAATGTCTAATAAAATAATATCTGACCCCTTTTCCCATGCTAAGTTGACTTTATGGGAGTTGAAGTCCACACATCTTAAAATTGCCTAGAGAAACACTGGCCTAGACAATGGGAGAGCATCTTAACTTCTATAGCAAGAGTGCCAATGGATCTCAAACTATGACTTAGATAAGACTTAGATTAGATAACTATATATAGAATTGTAATTATTAACTGTTACGATGATATATATTCACTTTTTGAGGTGAGTCTGTGTTGGTTAGTCTGCTCTCTTAGCAAGCAGGGGGGTGGGGGTGGGGGTGGGGGAGGGAACTGAGCACTCCTTCACTGGGTTTCCTGGCCCAGCCAGCGCCGTAGTAACTCAGTCCCTTTTCGGGGCTGGAATTAAAGTGAGCTTGGCTTCAGGAAAGGCTAGGAGGGGCAGCAGTCACGCCAGCCAGGTATTTCAGTGCTGCCTCTCCCAAGCATAGAGGGTGCTTTCAACCACTCTTCTCTTTCCCTCACAGTCTGTCACTTTTCACTCCCTGGACCATTATGTATTGTTGTCCTGACTGAGTTCCCATTGCATTTGGTGGTTTTGGTCTTCTCTATCTCATAGAACCTTCTGGGTTCCATGAAACGCTCCATCTCTCAAACCTTCCCACTGTCAAAAAGCTCAGGGTTTATACTCTCTTCCTCTAGGCTGACTTTCTGTTCCAAATTCAACTACCACATACACACAGACGATTTTCAGATTATTAATCTGTCCAAACTCTGGATGACCTGACGAGGGCATGTCTTTCTTACTGACTAAGCAGGTTTTCAGATTGGATGGGCTCCCACTGTCTTGAGCTGATCATGGATAAGAGAGATGATTGCATTCCCTCCTGAACATCGCATTCCTCACTTTCCTGGTTCTTTCTTGGAGTTTTGAGGATACCAGTCACAGTGCTCCTTGGTTGTACAGAACCTGATTCCCAGTTTATCATTAAAATATTTCACTGAAAATATTGTCAAAATCTGCTATTTCCATTTAGTGAACATTCATTGTTTTTGTTGGTTGGTGTAGATAGTCATGGAGACGGCCTTGAAGGGGATTATTCAGAAGCTGTTACAGAAAGAACAAGGGCAGAAGCATTCCTTAAGTCCTGGGAAAGGAGACAGTATTGGGAAGAGGCTCAAGCGGGCTCCTTTGTGACTCAGTGAGGTGTAAGAGGGAGGGGAGGAGAAACACAAGCAGACTTGCAAGATTCTGTTACTAGAGCCTTTCTCCATAAAGTATATATAAAGTCTTCCTGTGGTTTCTTGATCTGACCTACCTCATAGGGCTGACAGTTCCTTATTACCAAGAAGGCCAAACTCTTCCCCCCTCCCCGGACTCAGGAATTTCTTCTGTAATGACCTAGCTTCCTCTTCCAAGTTCCCAGAGTCTGTTAGACATCCCATCCTACTGGACTGAGATAAACAAGGGAATTATTGCTATGAGTCTGCTACAAACCACCAAATCAGTCAGAAGAGGTTGAAGATTTCTTAAGGTAGTTGATTGAAGCCTAAAAACAAAAACAAAAGCAAAAAACCCACCCCACAGACAAAAACAAAAAACAACTATGAAGTGATTGTGATGGGAGATTTCATCAACCCAGACTTCCGTTGGAAGACTAATTCTGCCAGAAATAAAATGTCTGATAAATTCTTGAGTTGCTGATAATTTTCTTTGAAATGGTTGAGATGGGCACAAGGGCATTTGGTTCATACTAAATTACAGGATTTGATTGAAGCAAGGATATCTGTAGGGTTAGTAAAAAAAACAAAAAAACCCAAATCAAGATAGTGGCCACACGATCAAAGTCCTGCACCCCTTTTAATATGTGTTGCTGTTGTAGCAGATATCTTAACTTTTCTTACACGTTTCCCCCCTGTGGATGCCCCAATACTGAAGATATTAAAGTGCTGAGAATTTTGGGGCAAGTGACCATGCATTGTTAAAATTATTGATTTTAGCACAAAACACAGATTTTAGGAAGGCCAATTTTCATAAGAAATATGCCATGGAAAGAAAACTTTGAAGACAAGATGTTCCTCTTCTTAAGTGTTATAGGTTATTCTAAGTGAACAATTCATTTTTATAGAAAACCAAGCAGTATTACAGAAGGACATACTGGTAATTTGCAAGAACTTGGGAAAAAAGAGTTGGAATATCCTATAAATCAATGGAATATAATTATAAAGAATGTCAAATGTTTCCTATAGTCTCAATATGAAATTAATTCAACAGAAGATTCTTTTTTATTTATACTGGACTTTTCCAAGGATATTCAGAAAAGGTTGGATGTCAACTTACCTGTGAACAGGGGGAGAGGCCATCTTACATTTCTTGAACAATACAAGATGCTATCAAAACAATTATCCCATTATATCAAGGGTGGAGATCAAAAGCGATCAATGCTAAAAGAAATGGACATTTCTACTCACATAAAATTTAAGAAGAGCTCCATCTGAGTTGCAGCACCAGGATCTCCTTCCAAGATATTCGTGGGCGGTGTTCAGTAGCATAAGGGAAGAGGGCAGCATAGGTGTGTCTTGAATTGGAGACACTGAGAATAAAGTGAGAAACAAGTAGAACTCTCGTCAACTTTAGAAGGACAGATGACATACTTCAGAAAGCAATTTCTCATTATTTTACCTACTTAATAGAGTATTTAGGCATCTTTCTGCTCTAACAAAGTCTCTCAAAGCGATGAACTAATCCGCGGGCCCAAGGCACCCCTTACAATTATCTAGCAAATTGCTGAATCACCTTGCCCTCATCAGCATGCAGCTTCTGCATTTTGCATGAACAGCACCAATTTGGAGGTAATGAGGCATCAGTAACTGCCCACAGAGCTTCTGGTTCCAAGAAGGGCCATGCTGAAGCTGGATGAAGGCATCCCAGACCATGGGATCTGCTGATTTGGAAAGAGCTGAGATACCAGAGCCCCCCCCCAAGTTGGGGATCTTCTCCTTAGGGGGAATGTGACCCCCTCAAGATCAAGCAGGGGAGTCACTTAACTACACTGTGGTTACTGGACAAACAGCCAGTCAGTCTTGCTGGGATTCAACCTCAATTGGTTTTGTTCCATCAAACCCTTACGGCTTCCAGATATCAGGTAAGGAATTATGTGAGAAGTCAGCATGGATTTGTCAAAAACAAAACTTACCAGAATGACTTTACCTCATTTTTGAATGGGCAACTTCCTTACAGGGAAGGAATACTTCCTTGTGGGAATACTGTAGACCTGTGGTGCTCAAACTGTATGCCACAGTGCCCCTGTGAGTTTGCCATATGACATACTGACCTACTCAGATCAATACATCTGAGAGTCTTGAAGAAGCTTGTAGATATCACCTCGCAGCCCCTTTCTGTATTCTCTGAGAAATCATGGAGGATGAGCGCTGTGCCAGAGGATTGCAGAAGGACGGGAAAGAGGAAAAAAGAGGACCGATACGGATGCTGATACTGAAGAAGCCGCTGCAAAAAGAAACTCCAGTACTTACCTTCCCCATGTGGATTTTGGAGCTGCTCCTCTTGCTGGCAGCAAAGGGACTGGAAATTTTCTTCTTCACGTTGAATGATCCGATGAAGAATAATCCAGGGAAGCACAGAAGATACAAATGGTTCTTTGGGTTCCTCCTGGACTGCCATGCTACAATCGATAATCTAATAGTTGAAGAAAGAGATACTGCAAATTAAAGCCACAAAGATAATCGAGATTCAGGCCTCCAGTTCAGATGTTCGAGACTCAGTTGTGACAAGAGAGCGTTACTAAATTTATTATGGCAATTGGCAGTTGGGTTTCTTGATTGCTAGTCTCCCAGGCCTTTGGAAATAGGTGGCAATGAATGATGTAATTAAATAAGTAAGTAAATAATATATACAATGATCTGAGAAACTTACTTTTTACACTGAACTGTTATGAGTTCTGATTGAAGGTTTGTTCAAAAATGTCAATTGCACATACCAGTTCATATGCGTAATGTCCTATGTCTTTCCTATTGTTAATTAAAGTTGTTTAAATGTTACTAAATGTTATTATAATACGTGGATATATATGTAAGACTTGTGATATTCTGAACAAGAGAGAGCATACTTTTTCTTTTTCCTCCTATGATGAAAACAGCTGGCTACTGCTCCAAACGTAGCTCTTTGGATGAAAGCTACAGCAACTGCCTCAACAGCAAACGTGGATACCTGGATGAGGTTGTTGCTTAGCCGGATGAGGTTCTGCACCGCACAAGCTTCATTGAGGCTGCTGCTGTCTGCTGAGAGAGAATGATCAATCCCCTGGAGCAGCTGGGTTACAGTGGCCACCCACTCTTCCTTGGCAGAAGTTGCTGTTGTATTAACCATCTGCTGAAAAGCTTCATTCAAGGCCACCTCAGAACATTCAAAGCACTGCTTATAGTCCTTCAGCCGCAGGAGGGAATCCTACGGAATATCAGGAAGACAGGTTAATGGCCAAACTCTGCAAAGAAGAGAATGAAGAGTTAGCATGCAGCGGTTCCATGAGACAGAAACGCTGCTTCGTTCACACACAGAAGAACAAGACCATCAAGAGCCACCCTGGACCCTACAGGTGCTCTGCGCTTGTTGCAGATTATATAGAACGCGTATACATCCCCATCACACTCCACATTGCGCATTTGGTAAGTATGTCACACGGTAAATTTCTTCTTCATAGGAGCAATGAGTTTGAGATTTCTTGGATTTCTAGTGTTTCATATTTCTCTATATCTTTTTTAAAGTAACTTTTCCATTTCTCCAAGTCATCTCCCAAAACCTGAAATCTCTCTGAACTTTAAATGGCTTTTATGTAATTCTTTCAGCTGTTTATAGTCTGGCCTCTACCTTTTTCATCTCTAGCATTTGATTCTTTTGTTTTGAAGATAATTCTTGATAATTTTAATAACACAATTAATTAATAACTCTTCTGGGTAATATGGCTTTATTTTAATTGTTATCTGGTTTACACCATCTTTTGTTCTTTGTTTTTATCATTGTATTATTTTATTGTTCTGTATTCATGAACTGCCCAGAGTTAAATAAATAAATAAATAAATAAATGTTCTGTAATGATGTCTTTATTATGTTTTTTCTGTTGTTCCACCTCCATTATTAGTGCAGCATGCTTAACATTGGCATCATCCTTATTGCTTTTGTTGAATCAACTTAACTGTAATCTTTTCCAATCTCTAGCATTTTAAAATTTCAATTCATATTTTTGTTGCAACTTATGCAGTTTACTTCTGAATAGGTCTTTGATTAACTGAAACAGTTAAATTAACATGAGCTTCTCCATGATCTGGCTACCATTTCCCAATCTTGTTGAATTTCTTTATTCTGCCTTCTCTTTCTCATTTTTAGAAATGAAAAATAAATTTATCTTTGGAAAAACACTTTTTCATTAAACAAGTTCAGAAAAGGATAATATAAACGAATATCAATAAATTTATGAAATATCATATTCAATACAATAAAAATACAGGCCTTCCAACATCATTTTATTAGTAGAGGTCTGATTAGGAGTAATCCTGGCATTGTCAGATTCAGCCGGCAGGGCACGGCACGGCAAGGTGAATGCCGCTGCTCAGCTTCGCCTAGTCAATTTCACTGCCCCAGGTGCTAGCAGCGAAAAGGGGGAAGTCAGCCAAACCGCGAACTGATTGCTGACAGGTGGCGGCGGTTAACTCCACTGGAGAGCAGATACACTGTATCATCACCGGCTTCCTTCGAGTGCTGCAGACAAAGGGAGGCGCAGCAATCAGCGCGATTGAGAACTCGCGCAACAGGAAAACCCAACAAAGGCAACGACCGCACAACCC